TCATCACTGGTGACAGAAATGAGAGACGTAAGAGGTAGAGAAAGAAGTAGGAAGAGAGTAAGAAAGAACTGAGAAGGAAGAAGTAAGAATGAGATGAAGAAGAAGAAAGAATATTTCCTCAAGAGTGGAAATTTGTGACCTCGAGGTATTAATATTATTTTTGTTTTCCTCCAAACTACAACCAAGAAATAAACTAATCACTTCAAATAGAATGACATACTAAAAGGAGAGAGAGAAACATGTCTCAAGATGAACCGATTAAAAAGAATGAATTAAAAGAATCAGTCAAAAAAGAAGAAAAAGAAAAGCGATCAGCTATATAAAGAAAAAAACAAAAAACAAAATACGACCAGAGGTATTAACCCCCCCCAAAAAAAAAAAAAGAAAAAAAAAAATATTAACCCACAAAAAACGAAAAAAAAGAAAAAAAGAAGAAAAAATAATAAAATCATCTTTTTCGTCTTTATGTTACAAGACGAAAAGCACACATTACAGCAAGCAAAAGGGTTATTCGCCCAAGCAAAGATGGATCAGCAGTCAGAAGGAAAAAGACCTTACGATAATCACTGTCAGGAGAAGCCAGGGACCCTTTGTGTAAATTATGCTCTGTCTAATCCCACTCCTGTGTAGATTAGTTTCGATTAGGATTTGCCAATCTGCATGCGTGTCAGATGATCGATATTACGAATATAATGAATATATATCGCACAGGGTTGTATATCTATCTTTGTATCTTCCTGGGAATACAAATGCATACACAGGGTTCCTCTAACGTGGACGCATATATACATATATATGAGGGATTCGCTACACATTTCTTTATCATATCTTCATCTCTAATTTTATATATAAATTCCCACTTTGATCATTATTTTACCGAATTATTTTGATTGACCAATTTGCCTCCAGAGATTTAGATTAACCGTTATTTGAGATATTATTGTAATTAAGTAATATTCGCCCATTCATTTTAAACGGTTAGTATTTACCTAATTATTTCAGTCAACCGAATATTTATCTAATTTTCATCAAAGAATCTCTCGGTAAATTTTATCGAAAATATGGATAAAAATTGGCGATTTTTTTTTCTTCTGTATTCGTTCTCTCGCGTTTCCGGTAAAAAAATCGTTTATATATGTGTATGTATGTGTGCGTGTGTGTATGTATGTATATATATGTGCGTGTGTGTGTGTGTGTATGTGTGTGTGTGTGTCTCTCTCTCTCTCTCTCTCTCTCTCTCTCTCATATATATATATATATATATATATATATATATATATATATATATATATATATATGAAAGAAAGAAAGGAGGAAAGAAAGACGGATGAAAAGAAAGGGAGAAAAAAAAAGAGAGAAGAAAAACATATAATAAGAAAGAGAGAGAGAAAGCAAAGATGACACAAAGAAAGAGAGAAAGAAAGAATTACCGAAGGAAAAAAAAAAAAAAAAAATCAGGCGTAGAAGTCGAGAAAGATAAAGATATATAAATATGTCCAGATAAACATATCCATATAAATCTATTGATTATATTCTCACCGACTATTTATAATTGTCTAGTATCTCATTTATCTCTCTTGTTTCTATGTCATTTTTATTATCTACTCTACTCTATCTCTGTCTTTACATAAATACCTTATGTTTTATCCCTTATCCAATATTTATATCTTTCTCAATTATCAATTAAATCCTTATTCACATTTTTCTCAATTATCAAATTTCGAATATTTATTCATATAATTCCCCATTATCAGTTATTTAATTCTCATTTCCATTTTTTTATGATGTATTTTTTATTCATATTTTTTCCCAATTGTCAATTATACAAACCGTGATTATATCTTTCTCAATTCTCAAATTATCCAACTCTTATTCATATATTTTTTCTCAATTATTGATTTTCGAATATTTATTCATATAATTCCCCATTATTAGTTATTTAATTCTTATTTTCATTTTTTTTAATGATGATTTTTTTATTCATATTTTTAAAAATATTTTTCTCAATTATTAATTTTCGAATATTATTCATATGATTCCCCATTATCAATTTAATTCTTATTTCCATCTTTTTTTAATGACATTTTTTCCCCAATTATCAATTATACAAACCGAATGTATACAATTTATAAAATAAATCGTATTTATATCTTTCTCAATTTTCAAATTATCCAATTCTTATTCATATATTTCTTAATCAGCAATAATCAATGTGTAAAATTAAGATATGAATACATTAAATTAAATTAAATTAAATTGAATTAAATGAATATATTAATTGACACATGAATAGCGGGATATATAATTTTCTTTGTTGTTTTTCCTCTTACGCGCATGACACGTGTACGAATATGGTCATGCGTTCACGATACTCTTGACTTCATGACGGCAATGCGGTGATTCATAGACCCCAAGATCTACCTCTCATGGACCCCAAGATTCCCTTCTTATGGACCCAAGACCCGCCTCTCATGGACCAAGATCCCCCTCTCATGGACCC